ATAAGACTTTCCTTGGGCGGACCACCCAGGTATTTTAACATCCAGCAACCCAAACACCGAGCGAGAGAGACAGAGACAGAAAGAGAGAGAGAGAGAAAAGCATTATATGGTGAATATTTTACAAGCACAGAACAGGTAAAGCCTTCGGTACCACGCTGGCTTCACTTTTGACCGTTTCCACAGGTTCATTAACAACAAACGTCCTCCACAAGAGGCTCACCTGCTTTATAAAAACGAATCAGGGGTGAAGAATCCAGAACGCGAGTTGTGCTTTTTGGGCGACTTTATAAAACTGCTAGAGAGGAAACAGAGATGGCGCGAGGCGGTGTGCGTGCAGAGCACTGTGTTGGTGTGTGGGCATGGGGGATAGAGAATGCAAGGCGAGCTGAGTAAAGTAGTTTGTGAATTAGCGCTACTGAAAAGGTTGCATTGCATCCTCGTATCATCAACCCCTTCAGAGCACATTTCTTTCCTCACATGAACTCCAGTAGATGTTTTTCTGTCATTGTTACATATATACACGGTCATATGCACAGCCCTAGCTGCAATGTTAAATGATGCAACCAAAATGTTTTACCTCCAATTTAAAAAGTTACAGTATGGAAACATTTTGGGACAAAAGCCATATAAGTATGCAAGTTGTGTCATACTACTAGCATGTCAAATAACAATACACGAATTCTGAATTCTCAAACAAGTGCACAGCTTTCAGAACTGAATCACCCTTTCTGTAGCAAAACACCCGTACATAGACTATTTTTACAAATTCCACACTCATGCAATTAAAACAAGACAATAGAAGTTAAATTATGTGACTACAAAGTAGCTTAATGTATCAGAGCACTCAATGTGACTTCAGCACAACTTCTTTACTGCTTATGATTCAACTGAAAAGAATAAATACGTTTGAGTCTTTTTTTGGGGGGGTGGTTCTTAAGCCAAAGAAGCTTATCAACAGATTGCCTGTTCCAGTTACAATCTACAAACTGATGAATGAGTGTAGTGTCACCAACAATGGCTGAGCTCAGGTCACCTACAGGCAGCCAAACAACAACAAAAAATTGGAGGGAAAACACCGTCTGACTACCCAAACTGACTGACTGGTCTGAGAAGCACAGAAACACCACAACAGCAAGCACTTGGACAGAGTGGAGAAATTCAAAAATAGAAAATCAAGAGTACAATTTTAACTGGGCAACATCAACAAATGACATCAGAATTTAACTGCCACACAGCTAACGGTTCAGGCTTTCTTGGGTTTGATAACACCTCATAATAATGCGGAGCAATCTGCCAGACAAACAAAAACACAAGCAGAAAAAAAATATATACCTCAGCAGTGATAGTGTGGTGAACCCTGCCTGTGTGGCAATGAGTCACCGAGCGAGCGAGCGAGCGAGCGCCTGTTTCTGAATGAGGCCCCGCTTTTTCATCGTGGCCAAGGTAATCCCCCGTCCGCTGGCTGCCGGGTGACACGCTGGACTATAAATACACTCAGCCTTCATTTGTAGAGAGAGAGAGTGTGGGGAGTGTGAGAGAGATAGGCCCTAGTCCCGACTGCAGCGTCATCAATCGCTGTCTGGGCACAAGCAAGGAAAAGGCTGTGTGTGAAGACGGGTGGGGGCATGGGGTTGACTGCAGCTGCTCATGTCTGCACTTCCCCTTTATCATACAGGCATTATGAGAGGAGCGGCAATGCCTTCCCACCTGAATAGCACGCGACTACCATCCAACAGGAACCCCGGGGCTTTCATCATTTTACTACAACCGTTTAGGCAAATGTGTGTATTATCGCCGCCGAGGTACGTTTTCCCTCCAAAAATAATACAAGCGCAAAGGGTGGGAAACTGATGAGGCGTGAGAAGTGATGAGCACACAGTTGCAGCCCAAGCCACTGTCATTAGTGTTGCGTTATATATGGTCATCTGGGTCTCACCAGTGGAGATACTCCTGGCTTTAATTACTCTCAGCTGCCTGGCTGGTCAAATGCCCTCAGTGTGTCTGTGTGTAGGAGTGGATTGCCCCCTGCTGGATGTGGACGCAGACATGCAAAAACACATCCACTGCCAATTTTCTGTAGAGAGATGTTTGCTGGGATTTAATAGAGCCGGCTGTCCAACGCGGGCTGAGGGTGATTTGCTTTGTCAATAATCACGGAGCCGTTTACTGATGGCAGAGCCAGGTGAGGAAATACTGTAAAGGTTGGATCATTTACAGAACCAGACCATTAGCCTGAAAGCTAACTTAAAGTCACAATAGGGCATAGATTAAAGCAAGGGAGTTACTGACCACTGTGCTCTTGTAATGGTATTCCTGTGACTCATGCAAGTGGCACAGGAAAAGTCTGTGTCACCACTGGTGTCAGTGCATGTATGCACATGAAAAGGTCAGCAAAAAAAAAAAGCTATATCAATACAACTGAACCCTTTTATAAGTGCAGGCTTTTCCATTTCAGTTATCAGCCTGGTCAATCTGAATGGCACTGTAGATCAGTGGTTAGCAGCATTTCCTGGGTTCAAACTAGGCTTTCTGCAGTAGAGGAATTCACACACACTGGTGCAATTCCTCCAGAAGGCCGCAAGCATAGGTAGGGCTGTGACAGTAACCGCAGGCATGTGATGCCTACCGCAGGGTTGAGCTTTTCTTTCGATCTATTGATGGGCGAATGGGTTCAATCTCATGTTATGTGTTTGAGATCAGAGCAGTCACACACATGCAGAGTACACAGCTTCGGATCGGTCGACAGACTCAACCCAAGGCATTGTGGGACTGGCAGTGGAAGCCTAACAACAAGAATAAATGTCTTCACCATGGAAAAATGGATAAATAGTTTCAGTGTTGGGTTCATCATTGTTATAAGAGTAGCGCAGCTCCTTCAGGGAAGAGCAGTGCATAATGTGTGTGGTTGAGCAAGGGGGAGAATGTCAATTCAAGCAGAGCAGAGGAAGAGGTGAGCGGTGAAGTTGTCAATCTGGCAGTAAATATACAGTATAGGTTACTGTGTGTCAGTTAATAAGTGCTGCAGCCTCTCGTCTGTCGTTTTCCCAGCTACTGGAAAAGTGAAAACTAAAGTAAGAATCGACTTTGGCCCTGGAGGAAAACAAACATCCCCCTGGTGATTCCCGACTACAGTCTGGAAGCTGAGGAAGAAAGGACAAAACTGATACTTGCTTTCCTTTGCATGATTGGTTTTCGTTGAATAGTGACACCATCTCTTTGCATATACTTGGGGCAGCGCTCGGATTGTGCTTTATTCAGGCTGTTCCCGCCATAACACCAGCTAACCTGTAGTCTGATATCGATGATTAAACTTAGTAAACCAGGCTCTACGTAGTTGAAGCATTTGGTACTGACAGTCCACAGATATGTGTTATGCTAACCTGTAGTACTTTTCATTGTGCATACTGATTTCATTGTTGCAGGTCTGTTATTTAAGATTCTAAACTGTTTTAATTTTCACAAATTTTGCATTAAAAGAATTCAGATCTTTAAAATCGCCCTCAAGCTAAAAAAAAATGTTTTGACCATATCACACAGTCCAACACACTACACGCTTTTTGCGAAGAAACTGACATTAGTGTAGGCTTTTAAATTACCAGTGATGACACAATATACCCAACTACTGATTTCTTGTATTGTGTATACACAGTCCCCTCATACACGTTTCTTCTTACAGCACATTCTTACAGACGTACGCCTGCATTTCTGACCACTACACTGGTTCTTATTCCTCGAAAAGGACTACATGCAGAGAATAAACTCCAGTTATGTGTGAAATGCACCTAACAAGTAAAGCGATTCGACTTCTTCTGAAGAGCTGCAGCCTCCATAGCACTAAGAGCAAACATTTGAGCCATATCATCTATCTAATGTAAGTGGTAACGACAGATTCTAGGTCCACTGTCAAGTACAAGGCAGATCTGTCCATCTGCTAGTTAGCAAGGAGACTGAGAGAAGGAGATTAGGATATCAGTGGTGGCCAACACTGCTGGAGGGTAGGTCAAATTACAGACAGGCCAAAAACACAAAGTCTCAAGAGCCTTCAGATGGTATCTGCGATAGCAAGTTGGCTGTACTGCACTTATTTTGTTCAAGTCTCTTATTATGCTGTATAAAAAGGAAGAAACAGACAAACAGTAGCCCACACAGCCTCGTCTCTATCCATAACCGCTCGTCATCTGAGCATCTCTAAAGTCTGAGCAGCAGCTCGGATGAGGTGGGGGAATACAAACGCGCCTAATGCAAGCCAGATCAAAGGCCACTTCATCCAGATGTTTCAGGTGAGCGGGAGAGTCTATCGACATACACAGGAAGCAGCGTAGGATCAGCAAGCATGATGGTACCCAGAATAATCTCATAACCATGTGTGAAAATTAACACCCACCAAGCAGAAAAAGGTAGTAAATGTGTCTGTGGTGTAAAGCTGGGCAATAGTTCAATGTTTTCTTTTCCATTTCTTTTTCAGTGGAGAACATCACATGTAGGCTTTTACTTAATTAAATCACTAAATCAGGTGAGAATTGCCCTAAGTATGTTAAATCAAGACTTTTGACATCGCACGCGACATTAACCACGCAGTTCGGCTACATTAATTTCCAGTACTGCTTTAGCATCTAAACAGATGAGTAGATGTGTTGACAGATACAGCGGCCTCCAGATCATTTTCAATGCCTATCATGCATTTTCATTTGTCACATGTAATTGTATGTGTCTATATGATCTAATTAAATGAAAGACATGCCTTTGTATCAAACATGCTTCTGGTGGACTCCCTGTGTTTTTCCACACAAGCGGTGGCATTTGAGCTTCTGTTTTTGCATGGCATCGTTTGATTTGTAGCCAGCGTCACAGGAGATCTTTAAGATTTATATATTTATGACATTTGTTTCATTGTCATGGTCAAATTCACGTGAAGTCTAAAATACTGTCTAATTGCTGGGGTCCTAGAAGTAGCATCATACGCTAGTAACAGTTGAGAGACACATGAGCAATTAGTCAGGCGTTAGCAGAGGATTAATATTAAAATGTGAAACATTCAAATATCGACTGAAATGAGTGAATCTGATTGCACCTGCTTCTCTACACTGTAAACAGTTATGGTGATGGCTGAAAGTGTGTAATAATTTTGCTGTACAGGAAGCAGCTTGTTCAACTCTGAAAAAGACAGATTACTCTGTGGTGGTTGATTCAGCAGAAAGTAAAGTCAAGAGCAGGTTCCCTTTAAAAAAAAAAAATAATTCACTGTGGACATTAAGAACTGCTCTTGGCAGCAGAGACAAAAGCCTAACTTGCTCATAATATAGCATGGGTCAAAAGGTGAAATTTGTCTTTACTACTGCAACTGAGTACTGAATCAAAATCGCTTCAACAGACGACTGATACATGTACTCATCCATCCAAGGTTTGATTTAATAACCACACACTGGTAAACAAGAATGATACTAACAGTTTCTTCTTTTAAACATTTCCAATGTATTTTACAAGGCTCATCAAGACAATATAGAGCCATGCGACCACAAAATCAAGTGAGGTTTCTAGATTTCCATGCCTCCTGGGCCTGATTTCCTCCCAATGGGGATGCAGTGGAGAGGGCAAACAAAGGTTGAACCAGGGTATCTGTCACCTGACTTGGCTTCTGTGTTCAGTGTGCTGCAGTTTAGACAAGAAGTCAAAGACTGTAGCAACACCAGAGGCCTCATTTCAAAACAGCTTTGATTTGATCTCAAATTACGGTGTGCGCCTAAACGAAGTGCATGGTGTTTTACTGAAAAATAAATAAATAAATAAATAAATCAGGACTCCTGTTGCCCCACGAGGTATGAGAGCTTAATGCAAACCACTCCCAAATCATATGAAACTACTAATGGAAGAGGAAAACCATGGAGATGTGAAATAGTATTGACTGAGAATAATACGAATCAGTGTCGCCACAGGAAAACTGGACGCAGCCGTAAGTAACTCTAACCCAATCCACTGAAAGGGAGTGCACAGACGTAGGATATAAATGCATGTCAAATTACAGAAATGTAAAAGGCTCTCTTTAGCTTGGGTGAAAAGAAGGTGGGTGTCATATCGTAATACCATTCAACAATTTTCAAAGCTCTTTAAACTTTCGAGCGTTTTGTAGCCTGTGAGTCCCTGGTCAAGACTATTTTGCCTTTTAACACTTGTCCTCCATATCAGCAGTTCATATGACAACGTCTTAATGTATGTTTCGCTGATCAATAATTCTTTTGCGTCTGAACATTTAAAAATGTATATATCTTTCTTCAATCTTGCTAATGAAAGCGAGCCAAAAACAGAGCTGCAATTCAACCGTGCCCTTAGTGTGTCAGTGTGATTTGACGCCAACGCTTTGATCCGGAGTGTGAATCCTTCCTTCCCTTAAGTTGAAATTAAATCAGCGCCATTGGTAGGACTGATGTCAAAGCGGCGCTTCAACAAGTTGAAAACGAGCTGGAAAAATGTTTCTGGCAAGCGTCGCTCACTTATTACCGAGTGACATTCAGATATCAAATAGACGGCAGCAGGAGCTGGCACTGAACTTCAGTGCTGCTCTGAGTGGGAAGTGCTGACCGGAGAGAGCCACATCATGATCACCCTATTCATTCAGACAGGGAAACTTGGTCAACAGACAGACCATGCAGCATCAGAAAAGTCACAAGTTTAATGTCTGCAGCAAAGGAGTATCATGGGTACTTCCTGAGAACTCATTCGTGTTCACTCTGGTAAAGAAATCAGGGGGAATCGACACTAGAGTCGTCAACTTGAAGTTGGTCTTGTTGAAGGCCACAAATACCAAGCAAATCTACTCTTATTAAATGTTACTTTATACTGCTTTACCCTACAAAACACACATCTATAAATGACTTTGGTTGCAGGCTCAAAATGCAAACGCAGCTTAAAAATGCCCAGGCAGCCAGTGGTTACAGATGGTCATTCAACTGGATAATCAAGATTACCACCTGATATTAGCAAACATCCACCAAGCTTAAGTGTCCTTGAGCGAGGCACTGAATCTGAACCAGCCCCGGTGAGAACATATCTACTGTGTAACTGACTATGACCCCTGACCTCCCTGCATGAGGGCAGAATGAATATTCCCCGCCCACAATGATTAGCCCACACCGCACAGAAAAACTGGAGGGAAAAAAAATGCCTCGTTTCTGTATCGTACTCTGTCAGCAAAAAACATCAGCACGGGGGAGGCAAGGATAGACTCTACTATCAACCTTGGTTGAGACAAGTCAAGCTGATCTGCCTCCAACATCCACGACACTGCAGCAGATAAACTTTACTGAAGTAGCTCAGACGCCTGTCGAGACGCAAGTGTGATAGGCAGCATGTCGTTTGCTCGCCCACCTTTTTTTTAAATTTTTCTTATAGGTAATTATTACAGTGACTTTAAGTAACACAGATGAACATTTTTTAAATCATGATGTTAATGCCTCCATATAATAATTTTTGCTTTGTCTTGTCTTCTGCACAACAGCCTACTGGTATTTATAAAACACTCTCTCTGACATAAGATAATAGACACTTTCGCTGTCCTATCTGTGTCCTCCTAAAAAAGTATAAGAGAGACTCAACAAGTCAGATCGCCAGTTGACTCTGTGACAGGTACTTCAGGCACCCTCACAAATAAGCCTGTTAGACAAAGAAAAGCAGATTTCTGAATGTTAGTGTTGTGCTGAGCCTTTGAGAATATGTCGCCACATAAATCAGATCACAGAAACTTAACACCTTTGCACTACAGCCACTTCCAATCAAAGAACAGACCTATACATCTGAGCTTGCAAGCAGACCATTACACCAAATAAAATGATGAGAAAAAAAAAGCTTTATAAAGTATTTGGTCATTTACATTAAATATAAAGCTGGTTCATACTGGTTTGTGGTACTGGGAAAGACCTCAGCTAACTTCAGCAGCACTCTAAGCCTACATGTGCCTGAGGCGTTTCTCTCCTGCAGAGAAACTGTGGTTATCTGTGAACTTTGGAGGAGCTACAAGTCTCATCAACTGTGCACAGTTAGTGATCAAATTGACTGCCACACTTCCAACTTGCAACAGCTTGCATCAAAAGCCAACGTAGTAAAAATGCACAGATAATTAGCTGCTGCCCACGACACCGCCAAGTGACCTGCAGTTGCCTGTGAAACATCCATGAGAGGATACGAGTGTTTCCCTGCTACAGAGGTGTAATCCCCTGCAGGCAGGTGCTGGTGATGGGAACAATCGTTGCATGAGGTAAGGGGAAGAAGAAGAAAGAAAAAAAAGGAGCACAGAAAGAAAACAGCAAAAACCACAAATGCCAGCTGTTGGGGAGAGCTAGCTACGTTTAGCCCAGACTCCCATCAATGGCAGCTGACTGTGTACAGACTTGGAGGCTGAATGCTACACATGTTACAGCACCGGAGCTGCTCAATCAGTGGGGCTGTATCAAGCGCCCTGTGGCTACAGTTTTCAGAAAGGAATAACGAAACCATTAGTTTACGGTTTAAGACCTTTACAGGCAAAATGCTGTTAAAGTGTGCTCTCCAAACCTAGGCACCTAGACTAAATACATTTTTTGTAAAAAAGAAATAATAATAATTGTAATAAAAGACAAGACAACAAAGTGTTTTTTTCTTATGGGGATATGTACCATGTCACTGCAAACGTACACAATACAGACCTTGGCTTTCGTCACACTACAGTTAGTAGAGCTGCACAGGGAGCAGAGAGCCTAGATCCTGCTGACTGCATCTTCACATTTGTAAACACTTCCCACATGCTACCTGAGAGCAAGAGTTGCTACTTACCGAAGGTAGTACTGTTTTAAAGCAAATGCAGCGTTGGAACAACTCTTCGGAAAGTTAAACTCTTCTCCAAGTTCAATCCATTGGTTTTTGTCAGAGACCTGAAAAGAAAGGGGGGAGGAAGGAGTACGTTAGGAGATAAAAACGAGTGGCAACAACAACAGAAAGAGCGGTTACACTACAACCATCTGCTCCGCCACAGGTTCCCCCAATGAGGCAATATCACAATCGCTAATCAATAACTTTCTCAAACTGCTGAAAATATCGAAAAAATGTTGAAAAACGTTAAATTGCCTGGCGGAATATTTAGTCCATTGTCGTAAAATGAGCTGCTAATGTTCGTTATCCGGACATATTTACATTTGACACATCAGTAAGTACAACTGCTCGACTCCCTTCAGGATACTATCGTTACTATTGAGGCTAGTTAGCACTAAAGCTAACAAGCTAACTTGACTTTTCTCCATTTTGGCGTTTAAACCCATCGCGGCTAAACTCCGACAAACTGTCTCCATCACGAAGCGGCAGCTTTCGGCTCGCAGCGACCCGTCGGCTTTAGGAGCAGCTTTTGGTGCCGTTTACTGTATTCACTACATGGGCCTGTGAGGCCTACATTTTGTGATCAGCCATGAAGCCGAAGAAAGATGGCTATGGCGAGAAAGGAAAATCAAGCTTCCCCCTGCGCGAAAACTACCGGTGAAAGCCCGGGCGAAACGCTATGTCCTACGCGGTGTTTCCCGAGGCCGGGCTCCGTGCCGATAATCGATGTTAAACGTGCCCGCTAATTTTGAGTCGCTCCAACTGCACTCTGACTCCGAGCGGCGGGGCTCTCAATTCAAAACCACACAACAACACAAGCCACCACATTGCATTGAGATACATGGCAAACTAGCACAAGGCCAACACGGACCCACTAACGCTGTTTCTACAGGGTTACACTTGTCCCGGGGTGCCCACACGGAGTTGTAGAGAGGTCCACCGAGGAGTCCACGGACGGCGGAGTGTGGAGGGAAAAAAATCCACTTTTAGTTCTCACTCACCTTAGCGAATCCACCTAAAGAGACGACTCTGATATAGAGAGCATTCAGATCCAGCTCTTTCCCACCCACGAAAGGAATCTTCTTGAACGGCGTGCTGGGGGGATAACACAAGAAATAAAGGCACATATGTTTCAATAACAGCTTTGGCTAACTCGCAGTCGCATGCAATGAAGATTTAAAGTTACATTTCTTGGGAATAAAGACGCCCCAATCTTACCCTCTGCTTTGGTGAAATTGCCGCAGCTCGTCCAGGAAAGCCTGTCCTTTCCTTCGCTGATCTAGTAGATTTTTCCCCGTCGAATTTGCCATTGTTTTTGCATGCAAAAACGGTTAAACCCCACTTCAGTCGCTTCTTAAGACACCAAGGATCCCATACTCCGCCGGCGCTCAGTCATTCGCGAAGCTGAGTGTTTAAAAAGTTAAAGAAATAGCTGATAGCAAGAAGAGCGGCAGCTCGCTAATAAAGACTGATGCACACAGAAAGCAAGCCCGATTCAACCCCGGACTAAGTTCCAGCGAACAGTCACAAATACGACCGATTTACCGGCAGATTAGAAACGCCATGGCAGAATGTGTTGAATAATTGCTTTTGGTCGCGGTAGTTTTCGTTTGGAGTGGTTTGACAGTGTGTTACGAATGCAGCTCAAAGGCTATCGCACACACTGTAGAGCGGCAGAGGGATCCAGTTCTCAGACAAAAAGATGTAAAGGCCGCTGAGCCCGGCCTGCCATGCGTGCAGCGCCCTCTGTGCTCACATGTGGCACTGCACCGTCCAGAGCAGAGCGGGTGCTGGAACAATAGAGACTGTTTTCTTTTTTAGGGACCGTCTGACAACTCGTCTCTGTTTGGAAAAAGGGTCAGGAGGTACTTGGAAATGTCCCGTGGGGGGAGGGGATAACACTAATTAACATAGCTCCCTTGTTATCCCAGCCAGGCGTGTAATGGAGGGCAGCCCTACTTTTTATTGGTAAAATATTATTTTTCTAAGCTGACGTTACAAAAGCCTGAAAGTATATTTATAACTGGATTCAAAATGAGCATCTAGTCGAGCTGATATTATGGAGGATATGCTATTTCCATTATGAACGGGGGGAAAAAACTATATTTACCCTATAACAATTTCATATTATACACATATCACAGCAATATTTTCAAATACCATACAACCACTGCAGGAAATCATATATATATATATATATTATGTTTTTAAAAATCCACAATCCTACAAGAAAATAAGGTATATGGACACACTTCTGATTTTCTAAATATATAATTTCTTCCAATATTTAATAAAAAAAAACAGATCAGTACTTCTATAAACACATGAGTAATTATTGTTCACTGGTAGCCATGTGCGTTTTTCATGATCAAGCTTACCAAACTGTACTACACCTAGTGATAGTGCTCACATTTTCTCCAACATGTAATTATTGTGACATTATTATTGTGACATCTGTGTCTCATGTCACATGTAACAGTCATACAGTGCAGCTGGGGTGGGAAGTGAAAACGTGACACAAATTGATTGATTTTATATTATTATTATTATATGTTGAGCTTCATATAGTGCATGTTATATTGTAATCCTGTTTATTTTGGGGGACAATAAATCGGCTATGCCATGATGTCAATTAAAAATGCATTATTTCGTCCCACACTGTGGTGACTGTCTGTTCAATCTATTTATAGTGTCGGTTGTAAAAGTTTTTGGCGGCTCAATTATGGTCACTAAAATATTTGTTTTTGTTGTGTTTTTTTTTTTTCATGGTGAAATCTGTTGCTGTAGACTTGTAAACGCCGTGGTAAGCAAACCCCACTATCCCTTGCTCACCACTTCAAAACGACTTTTATCTCACGGGATGGTTGAAAATTACTCCTGATCCCTTCTCCCTGTAACTGCCAAGCGGATATCTTCTTGATGGGGTTACATTCAACCATTACACGTACCCCTTTGCTCAATGAAAAACCTGTCACAAAATGGCGGAGACGTACGTTAGCAGACCCCATTTTGAGGAATTGACACTAGACAGCGGAAAAGTGCGTGTCCTTGCGTGTGGGTTTCAAAACAGAGCTCTTCTTTTGCAAACAAACTGCGGCACACCCGAGCCCACCTCACGCCTGTTTGGACCCGTCGACCCAGTTCTGCGCCGACGACTCGGTCGTGCGCTAGCCTGTTAGCTTAGCAAAAAACCTCAGCTAACTTAGCGAAAACTACCACGAACCTGTCCGGAGCAGTTTGTGGTAATCCAATTACCCGCTGACATCTCACGCCAACTGAATGTATCTACCATGTTGTGTGGTTACTACTCGATATGAAGCCCCTGTTCTGGTTGAATCGTTTGTGCGCTAGCTGCAGCATTAGCGTGTCAGAGTCCCTCATTAACTCAGCTAATGTTGCTAACTAGGTTACCTCCGGGTGCTAGCAGCTCATCTAGAAGCTCCCAGCAAAACACACCGCTGCACTTGTCATCGTTTAGCTATGTGTAACACCAAAGGATGAGCAGTTTTCACCACGAGAAAACCAATTCAGGTTGCTGTGGTGATCGTTTAGGTCCCGCTAACAGGCTAGTTAGTTAGCCCGTATGTGCGTACCTTCGGTCTGCATTTGGAGCTATTTAATATGTTCCAGGTTTTAAGCACCGCATTTTGTTAATAAAGATTCGACTTATTGCTAGTCGGTAAAACAAAAATGTACTCCTAAGTTTGTGTTGTCTGTGTCTATGTTACCTCTGTTTGTCGACTTTATCGGTGTAACGTTAGCGACTGTATGTAACTGTGTGTTGGATAATGACGTGCTAAAGGTGAAATCCATCTTTGCAGGCTATTTGCGGACCGGAGAGAGTTCACCGTTTAGGCTGACAGGTTCATTAATATTTAAACACTAGTGTTGCCAAAGAGTCGGTTCTGGTTAAATGGCTTGTTTGTCTTATCACAATTCAGTAAAAAAAATGTATTAACCCCGCTATTATTGTAGCTAATTTAACAACAAATATGCAACTCATACCCCTACTAAATTATTGTAAGTGGTACTTTGTTTGTTGAATAGAATAACTTAATTGAATTCACACTGAGGGGGAAAATACCACTGCTGTATCATGAAGTCTTGGCTAGAAAATGGCCTGCTTATTCTGGTGCATAAAGGCAATACCTATAGCAGACGTAAGGTGCATTTGGGGATTATTAAATTATTTCAGTGCTGCTATTCACTGTTGCATAAAAATGTAATTCTTTTTATTGTAATGATTTATAGTAAGTCATTGTGTAAATGTCAAAACATCTGCTGCCATACACTCTGTAGATTACATTTGTATTGTCTACATTATTTACCTTTTGGCGTTGAGACGCAAGTTACATAACAAAACATTACGTTTACTCACTCGGGCCAGTAAATTTAAACTTGTTTGACATATTCTAAAGGATTTTCTTGTTGCATTGACTGCTGTAATATCGACGTGATCCCTGGATGATGTTGCCTATAGCAAAACACTTGAGCACAACATAATGAAGATACAATGCATCAGGCAGGATATTGCAGTAGTGTTGCAGGGCAAAAATATGTAAATGTTAGCAATTCAATTTTGCTTATTTCCAATACGAGGCTTCAAGTTGTTGACTAATGCCTTAATTCCCAGCAGTCTGACCATTCATAAAGTGCCTAACAGTGGGAATGCTTAAATAGATCAAACATTTAATTAAATAATTGTAGCGCAGAAGGAAATGAAAAGGTGTATTAACTGCCTTCCTGCAGAATGGGCGTCAAAGGCACCAAGTAAGTGTCAGATGTATTTTATCCTTAAAAGATCATGTTAAATTCATTTGACCATAATCAAATTGTATCATGAACTAAGGCCATTGAGTTACACATTAAGGGAAATGTAAGAGTAAAATCTGTAAACAAAAGCCAGATTCATATCCCTAATATCTTTGCAGCCACCCATTTAAACTGCATTTAGAAAGTGACGACTGAATGTCCACTGTGAATGTGCACTTGAAAGCTGCACGGTCAGTTACGCCATCACACAGAGGTCCTCATCTGATGTGACAGCCAGGCCTCTAATGGCATATGGCACAAATGGGGCCAGTGAGCCCAAGCTGCCTTCAAGCACCCAGACAAAAGATCCCAGTGGGACGCTAACTGCCTGTAACGTCCTTACACCTCCCTGCGCCCTGCGGCTTCCACGCCTGAGGTTCAGGTCCCTGAAGCGGTGGCTGATGTTGAAGCATTCGGTGGAAAATGGCTCCATCTTCTGGCAGCCAGGCATCACGTGTGAGTGGTGGGATGGATTCACCTCATTGCGTTAGGAACATATTGTACTTGGAGGGATCAGTTGAGAAATTTTAAAGTGGATACAGTCACAGTTGGGGCCAGATGCATGCTGGGAGATTAAGGCAGGGCACTGTGGTGGCAGTGAGTGATCCTAATACAGCCGGAAGTTAGGCAGTGCACTGTAGTTTTTTTTTAGTATTTTAACTTTTTAAGTATTTTGGAGTCAGCGTAATATTACTTGTGCTAAAGATTATTGATTATTATTGATATGAATACATATAA